AAAAAAGATTGCCCTTTTCAAATATCTGAGTAGGATACTTGCCTTTCTCGCTCGATCGTCAGTGTTTTTCAGTTCGTTTAGAGTGTCCTCTAGATCAGTTTGCAGTTGCTATAAACAATAAAAACTCATAGATGTATTTATAAAATTTTTCACAAAGCCAAAAACTTACCTGAATCTCTCCTTCGAGCTTTCTCTTATTCGCCGTCAAAGCAGCATTTGTATTCGTTAACGTTGTCGCGACATCCTTATGTTCGGCAGCTTGGAAATCAGCTTGTCGGCGAGCTCGCTCGGCCTTCAAACAAAATTTTCAACCCTGCTCGAAAAAAATCGAGTATTCACCTGCTCCAATGCAGTGGACAGCTCTTCCTTCTCTTGCTGTGCCATCTGAGCCCGTCGTTCAGCCATCAGCGTCTGTTCATTTGCCTCCTCTCGTAATCGCTGTTCTTCTTCTACTTGAAGCTATAAATAGAGAAATAAATAAATTGAATATTTACTGATAAATAGAAAAGTTAGAGTTATTTCACTAATATTAGCTACTGACAATGGGGGCGATTTAAATAAGATTGTCCTGTCAGTAATTACAATTCTAAAAAATTATTAAAACTCAATGGTGACGACTTCAATTTCCTTGATGCATGAGGAGCTCAAATATATATATATATATATATATATATATATTTCTCTTTTTACGAACGCTCAAAAATCGTCTACAACGGAATTGTGTTGTGGGCGGAACAAGTGGAGAACAAACGCTTTATTCACTCATTTCATATCTTTGGATTATAGAAAACAGAAAATAATCAACTACCTGTAGATCTCGTGCGGTATCCTGATATTTCTTCATGTTTCTTTGGGCGTCAGTATTTGCTTTGTTGGCGTGATCCAAAGCAATTTCCAGTTCCTACAAAAAGAAATTTTCTCAAATAAATGTATAACTGAATCGAGCCGATTGATATGAATGAAAAAAACAATTTTACATTGATGTCGCTCTCTAATTTCTTCTTCAATCTTAGTAACTCTGCTCGTCCTCTTGATTCACTTTCCAACGATGCTTGCATGCTTTCCAATGCTCTTTGGTGATTCTTTCGAGTATTTTCGAACTCTTCTTCCTTAACACTGCAGTTGAGAACCTGCTCAAGGCATTGGGATATTTTTACAAACTTACCTTCTCTTGGAGGCGCTTTTCAATTTCGGAACGGATCTGAGATACTTCCACTTGCGCTCTCAGCACCTTGGACTCCTCCGCTTCTAGTGCTGCTTCTGATTCGTCGAGGGCTTGCTGAAAAAGTATATATGCATGACCTACAATTTCTGACTCCTCAAGATTCTACCTGAAGCTCTTCCTTCTCCAATTCCAAACGTCTTCTAAGTTTCTGTAGGTCGTGAACGCTCTTGCCACCTTCACCAAGTTGATCAGTAATGTCTTTGAGCTCTTGAGCCAAAGCCTTGTTTTCACGACGAACTCCTTCGATCTAAATTCAGTTATTGATCCACTGAACTTTTCAATTTAATGATTTGTCACCTGTTCAGCTGCCTCATCAAGCTGATTACGTAGTCTCATAGATTCGGTGGCTGCAGCTCGAGTGTCGCGTTGACTGGCTTCAACATCCTGGACGAGAGCTTCGCATTTGCGCTTCCAATCTTCGATAACCTTATCAAAACCTTTTTGCTTCTTTTCTAGCGAGTTTGCCGCAGCATTCGCCTGAAATAAGACACATTATAGTACAACTCTATCCGACTCGCGCATCATATCCATAGTTGGGTGAATTTACCCTATCAGCATCCACTTGAGCATCTTCCAGTTCACGCACCAATCTCTGTCTCGTCTTCTCCAAAGAGCTGATCTTTTGGTTAGCAGATTCCAGTTGTTCTTGCATTTCTTGTACCTAAACAAACACGATGCATTAAAGGTCCCTCACAGATTTGCGTTGGCCACCGACTTTATGAGCAAGTTTTCTCTTAGCTTCCTCCAATTCTTCTGCTCTGTTCATGCCCTCACCCTCAAAGCGAGCACGCCATTGCTGAGCTTCAGCATTTGCTTTGCTGGAATTTCATATTTGGACGATCATTACTTTAGGGTTAGTGTAGTGCCAAAGTACCTGATAAGACGTTGTAACTCTGTCTTGGTATCCTGTTCTTCTTCCAAGGCCTCACGAAGCTGTTCGCATTCCAGTTGGAAGTTTGAAAGCTAGAAAAAGAGAAATTGTTCATTTT